TTTCAAAGAACCTCCACATTCCACCATAGGGATGGCTGAATTTTAGTGGGTTTTAAAGTTAGATCTATCAGATGAAGCTTACACTGAAGCACTAACTCTGAGCTCCAGCCAGAAAATTCCACCTGTACTTGCAGCAGGATATCTGGATCAATTTATAACAGAGAGATATAAGAAGCACAGAAGCAAAATGCCCTTTAGAGGAACCCCCATTTAAACCTTGATTTCTAGAGACACACTGCTTATAAGAAATGTTGTATTTGCATATTACTTAGGTAAAGAGTAAACCAAAATAAGAGCTTACTTCTGCAGATACTGACAACCACACTCCTCAGCTGGATCTTTCAGTTATGAAACAAACTTGTTCTCCAGTTATTGGCAACATCTAGTTAAAAGAGTCTACAGACTCTGAATGTGTAGACAATAACAACGTTTTGGTTTTGTACAAGACAACATTTAAGACTTTACTCTATCCAACCCAGCACTTCAGTGGTACTGACTCCTAACAGACCTCACTACACTGCAAACTCAAATCGCTTACCATTGGTTCAACATTAAGTCTTTAATCTACATCCCAATTTGTTTCATTTCATAATCCCTGCTTTTAAGCACTAACAGATACATCTGCCTGGATATTCTTGCCTCCTCATACCAATGCTTTCCTGTCTTTTGTGACTGTGTCAAAAAACCCAGGAAAGCACTCACTGGAAGGGACTTCCGGAGGTGATCTGGTCCCACTGCCTGCTTGAAGAACAGCCAAGGTTGCTCAGTGTCTCACCCAGTCAAGCTTTGAAACTTTCCTTCCTCAAATGTATAAGTTCATGTCATTCACTCCAACTGCTTCTATGAAAGAAAAATTCTCACTTCTGCCACATAATCCAAGACAAGCCAAAGCAAGGATAAAAGCCTATATAATGTAAATGGTATGAAGGACTTCCCTTCCCTCCTGCATAACTTTGCAAGATTTCTATTTTTCCATGAGACACAAGGTAAACAAAAAGATTTGCAGTGGAATAGGTCACAACATCCCAATCCTCTACTGTATTTTTTCAGCTCCTGTAAGACAGCTTCCAAACCCAGAAATAAATACAAGACTTAGCAGTGTGGCAGGCACTTCCTCTAACATGATCTTCTGCTTTCTCTGTACAGAGGAAACAAAAGATGCAGAATAAAACAGGAGCTTACAATTAGGACACTACTACATGCTTTGGAGAGCAGGTACCCTTCCTCCCTCCATCTGGGTATGAAGATATTTTATTTATCTATGTGTGCCTCATAGCTTCTGCAGAGTGTCGTGCCTGCCATGGAGGCTGGGATTCCTTGTGAGAAGTCCCCTGTTCTGACAGCAATCTCCTCTTTTTCCAGAAAGCCCAAGCCTACTAAGCTCCAGGGAATGCTGTAAAGCATATCTGACCTCATCATCTCTGAAGAGCAGGGTAAGTATTCCAACAGTTTATACTGCCTTCTGCAGTGACTGATTAAAGGAGGCTGTGCACTGTATTACCTACATGGATAAATAACAGCAACAGCATGCTGATTAGCACTGAACTAATTTCTGATATCAAATAAACAGACGAACAATGAGGACTGAAGAATATCCGGATACCTGAGGTGCTACAAATTTGGTATTAGACAACTCAGTGTACCTTCCTATGAGCAATATATACTCCCTACCTGCAAAGATGCCACAGGCTTCAGCTTCAAGCCATCTTTTGTACATGTCCTTCCACTCAAAGTAGTTCTGCTCTGAGATAGGGGTTCTGTAAGTCCCTGGACAATGAGGAAAAATGTATATTTTAATCGTTTCTACATTTGCAAAACAAACAAACAACCTCCCCCCCCGGCCTCCTTTCCATCTGGTTCCAGTGTCTAGTACTAGAACTCCATCCATCTTACAAAGAAAGACCAAGCTCTTCTGTGAGTACAAGTTGTTCTCACAGAGAATTGGGACCTCAGGAGGGATGAAACAGATCAAACAGGCAAATCTGCTTGCAGTAGCAATCCGCTTTACAGAAATCTTAAAGAAACACATGGTAAAGTCTCTAGCTGCAATTTTTTCCCCCAATCTTCATAACTCAAGCTGCCACTGAATCTTAATCCTTTCTTTTTCCATTTTGTTTGGACTCCTGTTAGATGCCAAACCTTCATCGCTGACAAAGGCAGGGCCCACTTAGATGCCACCTGCTTCACAGGTCTTAAAACTTGAAGTTTAATCACAGGCTTGGACAGAAATACAGTAAATGATTTACAGAGTCTTGAGTGGTTAAATCAAGGTCTGAAGTTAATCTAACTCTGCTGCAGTCTGCAAATGCTACACCCCATGAGCAGGTTGGCTGTTCTGTGTGAGGACATTTGTTCTTATACAGTCAAAGCTGAGAATAACCCTGCTTAAAATTTCCTGCCAGATATACCCATATCCTGCTTTGCTGTCAGCAGCATAGCTTTGTATCGGTAATTTATTATTTTTTTTTAAAGACAGGTTTCTCTTGTTTCATGAGGCCTGTTCAGTAAAGCAGAACGTTCTCCCTCAAACACCCATCTGCTAAAATTCAGTCTCTGCCCAAACACAAGCCTTTGCAACAGCTTTGAGAAGACAGATTTTAATTGTTTCTGTGGCAAAAACAAAGTAACCTCACACATGCCTCAGTCCTCTCAAAAGCCCCTTTCTGACAAAAGCCTTGATATGGGCCATGCCTGTAGGCTCACGTGTCACCGTGACAGCACACACGGATGTCACCCCTTGAGAGCACAGCTGGCTGCCTTCACTGGGGGCTTGGTCCCCTCCAATTCCCTCGGATGCCAGGACCAAGCGCGAGGAGTGAACCAAGATCAGCAAGCAGGGCAGCTCTATGAACAGAACCTTGCAGTTGGTGAAGTCAAACTAACAGATAAGGCGCACGCACGCATCCACAGGACCCACATCACGGGCCTGGCCCCTCCACCTCGGAGGCAGCGGTAGGACAGCACCGGTCAGAGGGAGAGGCCGGGCCGCCTCAGGGGGCGGGCCGAGGGGAGGCGAGGGCAGGCAGCAGCGCTCCGCGCACCCCCATGCCGGCGTCCGCTCACCACGTCCAGCGAGGAACCGGGAAGCCTCAGGGCAGCCGGTATGTAGCTGTGGGGGGAGCCGCTGCGGTGGGAGCCAGCACTGTGAGGCATGGCATCGCTGACAAAGGCCGGCGGAAGGCACGGCCGGATCCCTCCGCGCCCTTCTGCCTAGAGTCCACTGCTGCCATGGCAACCAGGACCTCGGCGCCCTCCACCGGCGTCCGTCGCCGTGAGTAGGCCTTCCCACCAATCAGAAAAAGGAGCACCTTGGCGAGTGAGCCAATCAGGAGCGAGGACAGGCGGCCTCTAGGGCAGGTGAGGGGCAGCGCGGACCCCGAGAGGAAGCACCGGGCGCGGAGCTCAGCGCCTTCCTCCACCCGTGAGGTAGAAGCAGGGAGGGTACGGCCCTCGGCAGCGCCACGGGACGTGGGGCGCAGTCGGGCTCACTGGGGTTGCCTTGGAAACGCCTTAGCGAGGCCGGCGGGCGTGGGCTCCCGCGGCAGAAAGCCGGGAGCAATCCGGGTACACTGCCCCGGCCTGTGAGCCCGCCGCAGCCTTCCGCCAGGCTTCGTGTAGGGCTTGGCATGTGGCCACGAGCTCCTTCATTCCTCGTTTGTAATTCAAATACATCCTCATTGCTCAGCGCTTGCTAATAAACAGGATATGGATATAATGATAGGATATAATGATAGGACAAGGGGTAATGGGTACAAACTGGAACACAAGAGGTTCCACTTAAACTTGAGAAGAAACTTCTTCTCAGTGAGGGTGACAGAACACTGGAACAGGCTGCCCAGGGAGGTTGTGGAGTCTCCTTCCCTGGAGACATTCAAAACCTGCCTGGACACATTCCTGTGTAACATTATTGTTACACAGGATTGGACTAGATGATCTTTCGAGGTCCCTTCCAATCTCTAGCATAAAAATTAAAAAAAAAAATAAAAATTAAACACTGGTGACTTTATAACACGCCTGATAGCTGTATTTAACTGAAATACTAATGTCATTTCCAATAGCTTCATGTAAAACAAACCCTTCTGGACTACACAGCAATAAAGCCACAGGGTATATCCAGCTTTAGCTCACTAAATTCTATTGCAAGATTTCATACATTATTGTGTAATACTGACTTAATGAAACTAAAATTGAAACTGAAATCTGGTATATGATATGGCTGTACTCCAGTGATAAGAAAATACACGTTTTCTACTAATCAATTATGACTTGAGCACAATGGCACTAACAAAAGTGTTGGTCTGCACTGTATTTTTTTTACCTAGCAGCTGGCCAGGACTGCAGTAAACCAGATGAGATGCATGCTGCTGCCTGAAGATTTAATCAGTATCTCGCTTCTCTTGTTGCCAGAGATACCATCACACAACAGAAATGTGAGGTTTAATCCCAAACGGCAGCCCAGTAGTGCCTCAGTGACGCAGAGGTCTCACAATAACCATTTTAGTGCTGATCATTTGAAAGTAAAATAATGTTTGGTTTAGGTCAAGCCTGGCCCAGAAATCCCGACCCTTACCCCCCTATTTCTGCTCTGATCTGCTGGTTGTAACAAGTTCTATCTCATTTCTTAGTGTTTTCACTGTGGACTGTCCTTAGTGAGAGGAAAATTAAACGCCAGGGAAAAAAGAAGCCAGAAATACTTACACTATAAAAATGTAACTGGACTTTAATGGCCTTTCTGAGAAAGGCGACCATTTCACCCACCCCCACCCCCCCCCGCATTTCACCCACCCCCATTTCACACACCCCCAGTCTGTTTTGCTGCTCTCTTCTTTTTAGGATTTTTATTTGGTTATTTTGCTTGTCTGAGCCCTAGCATTACTTCTGTGGCAATTCCACATGCAGTAAGATCTAAATTCCACATGCAGTAAGATCTGGTTTCCAATGTAAAAGAGAAGGGGAATGAACATTTATACATCTATTTCTTTTCACAGGACAGAAGGAAAATGAACCAGCTGCAGCCTTTGCTGAATGATAGTCTTTTATCAGAACAAAGCATGTGGAAAACACAGCTATCATCAACATAAAGGAAAGACAAGTCTGTGCATCAACCTTTGGCTTTAATGTAAGAGGTCAAGGAGTGTCCTGGAAAGCAGAGGCACAAACTCTGTGAATCTGGAGTGCAAAGTAGCAATAATGACAGGGAGCACGCCACTCTACTAAATACATTGGATTCCTTCACCTCGGGGACCAAGTTACAGGGTACAGCCTAGCTGCTGTTTTGGGGGGCTAACTTGCAAAGTTGGCTGCTAATTTCACGTCTTTGCTTTTTGGAAGGAATATGCCATTTAGCTGGCATTTTCAAGAATTTCTTTTTAACCACTCTGTGCTCAAAACAGATGTACATAGGTCCATTCCCTGGCACTGAGACCTGCTGCCGTGGAATGTGCTGTGCCCACACTACAACCCCAGCACAGAGTGGCTGAGGTTGACTGTAAGGAGTGGTCCTGGGCCATTCCTGCCTCAGAATTATTTGGGAAACTGCTTGCTGGACCAGGCCAGTACTCAGAACTGCTCTCTGGCACTTTAAATTTGATGGTATACCTATGGTTGATCTGTTTTCATTGTCCATCTGCTGATGAACAGGAGAATAACAGCATTTCTGGTCATATCACATTCTACTCCCTGACAGACCTGTTGAATTTCCTAGGAGCTCAGGAACTCTTCCCACACCACAGTCATCCTTATGTCATCGGAAGGTAGCACTTTGTCTCCTAATCCCCCTGATACCAGCTCTCGAACATTTCCCAACAGTTTTTCCAGGGGTACATATTGTTAACTTTAGCATGCTCAGAAGAATGTGTTCAAAGATGAAGCACTTGTTAAGACAGCCCCATCCCTGGGGACAGATTCTCAGATAGTGGCATCGGTCCATTAGGTAATAGTGACATCATTATGGAAATTAAGATAAACCACAGCTTTCAGAGGTGCCGGCCTGCTGACTCTTCAGCAAGGCAGATTACATACAGAGGTCTAAAGCAAATTCCTCAGCTGGTGTAAATCATACCCAGCTCCACTGACCTGAAAGAATTTTATCTTATGCAACCAGCTGAATATAAATCTGCCAAACCAGTGACCTAGTTCTGTGTACACTGAGCCCAAGAGCATATTGACATAAACAGATTTGTGACCCATGCAGACTGCTCCATTAGGTGTGAGGATCTGGTCTGGACTTTATAAAAGTTACACTTCCCAACTTGTGACCAAGAATATTTGAAACTGGCATCCTCAGGTGAGCTCTGCATGACCCGGGGAAGGCTGTGCCCTGCCCTGTATTGCCTTTCAACAGCAAGGTCCATCACCACAGGGCACCATGCTGGCCTAGAGGAGTGTAACTAAGGAATGAGACTATGCAGAGGGTAACCACAGACTAAGTAGGTTGTTTTAAATGAGTCTCTGAAAATATAGTGGACTGTATAGAAAGTAGGTCTAGTTTCAGAGCCAGGCAGATGTGTTTTGGTTGGTTGGTTGGTTGGTTGGGTTTTTTACATTGTAATTTTAAGTGAGCTATCGAAGATGGAGGGGTGGAAAGCAGTTCATCATTGCAAAGAGGTGCAATTTTGGTCCATAAGACTGTGATGTACTAACATAGGTGCCACCAGAGAATGCTTTAAACTTTACGCTTTCTGCAAGAACTTACTGAAAGTTAGAAGGGAAGGACTCTGCTTCAAGGAGAAGCACTATAAATGTGTCTGTGCAGATGAGCATTCCATCTGTCTTCAGAATGTATGTTGATAAGAGCTGTGGCCATCCTGAGAAATCTGGGGACTTCCTACTTCCTTCCCTTGCTGCCTGGTTATGTGAACACTGTAACACAAGCAGAAAACCTTCACATGCCTCTTTCTTTCTCTACGTATCACCTTCCCAGCAGGTGTGGAGTGAAATCGGTGCAGAATACAAAGAAGTGTTAGCTGTATAATACAAATTTAATGGATAACACCATTCATTTCCCTAACACCACACCACCACCTGCAGGGCTTGTTATGTTCTCCTTTAAAACAGTTCATCTCCCTAAGCTGAGAGAAAACTATTGCTGATTTTTTTTGCTGGATTGGTTTCTTGCCTCATTAATTAATTAAACAGGTAATAGAAGGGCCTGGGGAGCCCAGGGTCAGAATAAGGTAGCTCGGTCATGGGAGAAAAAGGTCCAGGTGAGCAGGACATGTTTGACACTCACCTTGTGGGGCTCCAGCCTCAGTAATTCACCTCTGAAATTCAGAGACACAAACTGAGGACATGGCTGCATGCAGCCATGCTCAAGACAGCAGAATTTTGTTATTACAGCCAAGTCACACATCCTGAAGTGACACCCACCCAACTGGCTGTTACTGAGATCTTAATTCTTCCCGTCCTGAGTAAATCCACACTGAAATGAGCTAAGCAATTTGCAGAAGAGGCTGAGCAGCTCTCAAGTTTGGATCCCCTCTCAGGAAAATGCAGTACTTTGCAATGTCTTTTTCCATTCCTTATTATAAATTGGCAGGGTTTGGGAGACAGGGTTCATAAAACATTGGGCATGCTCTCACAGCAACACTAGTTATTCTATTTGCATTTATCAGTGCTTTTGCATATGACATTGAGCACTAGGATAACATGTCTTCAAAATGCTGTGCAGTAATACATTGGTCAATGGAAGTGAGACATTAATCAATGGAAGGCAATATAATAAAGCATTTGACTGACTTGCTTTAATAGTCAATAGTTTTCAGAATATGCAAAGCCACTGTTTATCTGTGTCCTGGCTTATATTTTAAGACAGTATTTGCCTTTTTCCCCCCAAGAAAAAATGTATACTGGCAAAGAAAATGCCTCTAGTTGGCCCAAACTGTCAGGCAGTATGTATATCTATGTGGGTTTTTTAGAGCCTTGTAACCTTATACCAGTTTTCCATATTATCTAGCCAGATGGAGGACTGATAGTTGTGAAGACAAAGACTTTCATTCTGGTTGCTACTTACAAAGCGGGCATGTATCCCAGTGTGTGCGTGGAAGCTGTGGAGAAACTAGGTAAGAAGTGCCTGTACCTGTGTACCTGCATGCTGGCATCTCACCAATCAGCTCTGCCCTTGCAAAAAGCTTCAAAAATCAATCTGACAAACTAACAGATCCTGAAGTCTGGGTAACTGACCACAGATGTGGTTATGGCTCCACAGCTAAACCCTCTCCAGACATCACATCCCACTGGGTTCCAGAGACTCCATAGGTATGGCATGGTTGCCAAACTCTCTTCCTTTGGCCATTCTGGCACAAGTTTTCTGTTAGTTACCCTTCAGCAAAACAGGATCTGGCAGTCACATTTCTGACCTCATATGCCTCATGCTGAGGTCTTAAGCACACTTTTGTAGAGCGTCAGCTTTGATACTCTGCTTCGCAGTCCACTTCAAAGAGACATGAGGTCTCCAAGGGTTTCAGACCTTCTCTAGAAAGCCGAGTCTCTAGGAGAAAGTTGTAGTCTCTTTTCCTACATCTTGAGACATCATGAAGCTAGTCCCCTTGTCTCACAGTAACAAAGCACCTCTTCTCCAGGAAAAGTGCCCATTTCCTTCCCTTGCCTGCTTGAGTTTTCTTTGTGAGCTTTCTTGGGCTCTGTTTTTAAGACTCAGTGTTAACATCTAACTCTTTGTTCCCCATTTGCATGGGAATACTGCAAACTCCAGCCCTTCACAGACCAGCTGCAGAATCCCGACTGCATCTCAAATGTAGTTTTTCCTTTGTGTGGAGGTGCTGGCAAGGAATAACCACTCTTCGTTGTCCGTGGCTGGGGAGCTAAATAACAGGGTTACACATCTTACTGATGTAATATATGCTGACTCCATATCAAGAATGCAGTCATTTTATTGCATAATCTAAATGGGTAAAATGCACAAGAGTAGATTCCCAGAATAGCCTCGATTTTCACCATAGGGGTAATTTAAGAAATTTCTAAGGAATTTCATGGGCATTTCTAAAGAATATTTTGTAGAGCAGATTCAACTTCATCTATGTATATGCCCATCTTCTTTCACTGAATAGGAATGAAATTATAGGCCCCTGTGTCCTTAGCTTTTGTTCCTCATTTAGATGCCTAAAAGTGGTATTTATTTTGTGTTTTGGGGCATAAGCTATTTTGCCTGGAATGAACTGTAAGACTCTTAGTGACAAATTTTTCATCAGACCTTTTTTCAAAAGGCTTTTACAATTAAAACACTATGATCAAGAGCAGGATATTAGGGGTTAAAATTAGGGGTTTAAAACCAGATTTGCCTGCTGGGCCCTCAGAAGTCTGGTTCTTGGCTGGTGGGTCTGTCCTTGGTGTCAGGCTGGCAAAGACTAGCCTTCCTTGCAGCCTCTTCACTTCTTCACACTTTACAGCCCCTGAACATTGTTTAACTAAAATGCATCTGGCTGCAGATGGACCAGAAGAAGAGGGAATTGGATTGCCCATGGTTTTGGATCCTTCCTATGTTCATTTCAGCCTTAAATATCAGAGCAACTTCTGCTTTGTGTAATGTTCTACTTTCCCTTAGTTCTTAGCCATTACTTTGTGTCTTGCAGCAGGTTGGACACAAAACCATTGTACCACCACTGCACTGCCTAGAGAGCCTCCATTTTCTTGTGCTCCAGACATGATTCCAGCTCATGCCTGCCATAGCAGCTGTGATGGTTCTATGAGAGCTTAGGTATTACAAACCTTTGTCACTGACATGCATGGCCAGCACATCAACTTCAAATGATTTTGGTGGACATTTATGTGCTGGGCTACGAACAGAGAAGCAAATTTCCCATTTTGATACTGTATGGCATATATAAGGACAAAGAGCTTCCAGAATGTCCACTGGGTTAAGTTTACTGAGCACATGACCAGGAGTTTTTATTCACTGGGTCAAAATGGGCATAAAATACCAAAGCAGAATGGTCCTTCCATATGAGAAAGGTTTTCAAGGGAGTGTTTCCACTGTGGAGACAGTGTTCTCACAGGAGAATGGATAATTGGTACCTAAAGTCTGAAAATCCAGCAAGGCCATGAGAGGCCCGAGGAAGCCTAAACAAGCAAGATAAGAAGCTGGATTTCACCAAGTTAATGAGAACTGTGGACTGTTGGCAAGCTTTTGAGGTCAAGTTCCCACACCTGTGCTTAACCAATTATATGCTAGTTGCAAAGGGTCTTCAAGACATGTATCCAATCATAATATGGCAAATCACTGTAAGTGCATGTAAGAAATAGCATTTAAGGGGTTTTGTAATAAACGGCTTTTTGTCTGATCATATTGGTCTCTGACTGAGTCCATACATATTCTGCAGCATTCCACCTAGGGCAATATTAATGAGACTAAATCTAAGAATTAGGCCTCATATTTTAAGATAACTTCAGACTACCTTTAGCCTAGTATTTTTCTGCAGTACTACAAATGGAGCTGGAGCAGATCCAGAAGGTGTTATTTAGCCCCAGGTCTGGTTGGCTGGCTCAGTAATAAATTCAGGAGCCATATCATAGTTGATGGTAGCTCCTTCACTGCCACGGGAGGAACGCAGAAAGAGTGAAGTTGGAAGACTGCAAAAAACTGCCAACATTTGCAAAATCCTGTAACAGTTCTCATACAAGTTACTTGGTCTTGCAGATAGTCACCTTGTCTGTAACTGGTCACTGTTCCTGAGTAAAGTGTAAGGTTTAAGTGTTTCCAGAGCCAGATTTGCAGTGGTTTTGACAAAGTACATTCTCTGGAGTTTATTCTTGCTGTTCTGGATGATTTCTTTGTGAAAAGAAAACAAATCAGCTTTTCTTCATGTTACAAGAGATTTCTGAAAATGATATAAAGTGCTCAGTGTTGATTCTCTGGAACAGATAATACCTCATGCATACACGTATTAGTATTTTTAATTGTCAGCTAGAAATACTGCTGTCTGCTTTTGAGTACGGTGTAGTCTGAGGTGGATTTGAACTTGAAAAAACCCATCTCTATTACAGGAATTCTGTGTATGATTTTTATTGTTGTTGTTTTTTTTTTGTTTCCTTGCATTTTTATAGCAGACTACTTTAGAGAGAAAGGTAGCTGAATGTGCAGAAAACCTGAACTTCTCACTGCTCACAAGGAGATAAAGTATACAAGTTTGAAGCATTATCCAGTTTAAGCAAGAAACTTCTGATTTACAACATTCCAACTGCTGAGTTTCCTTCTGTTTTTACAAGAATGCTTGGGGGTTCACTGCTCATAAGAGGACTACCCTATGCATCTATTCTCTAAGTTACCTAACTGAATTGAAAGTGATTTGGTTCGGGATGCTCTGCTTAATATTTCTAATGTGTCTTTTCACCTGTTTCCAGGTAAGAAAACTGTTAATCTCACTAAGCAAAGTAAGTTCTCTAATAGCATTACAGCTATGCAAAGCATCACTCACCCAAGGGACAAAGGAAAACCTTATATTAACATATTTTCAGACTGTCCTGTACATCTTTGAATATGACAAATAAAACACATTTTTAACATGACAGTTTGCACTGTCATTGACTGCTATAAAGTTATTTTGAACTGTAGTGATTGCAAAGTTCTGTGAGGAGTGGGGAGGAGGGACAAATCACTACCAGGCTTGAATCACACTGTGTGTAAAGGACATCAAAGAAGATCAGTCTTAAGAAGACGAGGCTCCATGATCTCTTCATTTGCAGAAACAAATAAATCATTATCTATTTGAGGCACATGAGAAGAAAAGACTTTTTAGCTATATTTGATTCTGAATTAGTTTCATTTCAAAGAGGAGTTTAAAAGCCTGAATCCCAAAATCTCAAAATTGATAGGGAAAAAAATCGACAGAATAATCTCAGACATAGACAGACAGACAATTTATCACTTTTAAATACTCTGAAGTGTCAGTTTTATTCCTTGACAACTCAAATAGTCGAGAGCTGGTAACAAGGACACAGAGAAAGGCACGATCTGATCCTTCTTCTGGAGAAAAGAGCAAAGCTTAAGGAAGAGGTGTGATCATGCACCTAAACCACCAGGGAGAAATGCATGGGGCTTGTGGACATAAGCCAGTGAACTTTGAACACCGCTTACAGGAACAAAGCACAATAAAGCCTCCTAAGTTGGTTGTATAGCATAAGAACTGTCACAGCTCTCACACCCTTAATGCCATTTTAGTATATCTGGTCAGAAATCAAATCAGCAGTTTAGTGCTCTGCACGAGAACATACAAATACACCCACATCCAGTGGACTGGCACGGCAAGGGCATTGGATCAAACCTCCCTCTGTGTTGGGATGTCCTAGTTTCAGCTGTAACAGTTATTTTTCTCCTTCTTAGTAGCTGGTGCAGTGCTGTGGTTTGGCTTTAGTCTGAGAACAGTGCTGATAACACACCTATGTTTTAGTTGTTCAGTAATGCTTACCCTAATCAAGAACTTTTCAGTCTCTCATGCTCTGCCAGGTGAGGAGAAACACAAGAAGCAGTGAGGAAGCAGACAGGACACCTGACCCAGACTAGCCAAAGGGGTATTCCATACCACAGCATGTCATGCCCAGTATAGAAACTGGGGGCAATTACCCGGAAGGCCCAGATCACTGCTCGGGTAGGGCTGGCTATCAGTCGGCAGGTGGTGAGCAGTTGTATTCTCTTCCCTTGTTATTTCCCTTATCATTATTATTATTGGTGGCAGCAGCAGTGGTTTTGTGCTATACCTTAGTTACTGGACTGTTCTTAACCTGTGGGAGTTACATTCTTTTGATTCTCCTCCCCATCCCTCTGGGACTGGGGGGAGGAAGAAGTGGGTGAGTGAGCGAGCGGCTGCATGGTTCTGAGTTACCAGCTGGGCTTAAACTACGACATGGGGGGAGCAGAAGATCTCTACCTCAGTGCCAAAAGGGAAAGTAGATTTGTGCCTCAATCGGTGGACTAGGTCCGTGGGTAGAAATAATGGTGAGATGCAGTAATATTTCTGACTCTTCATGCCTGTCCCTCCAAAGTAAAACACACCCTCATCGTGCTCCACCCTCTGACTTGCTCGGGAGCAGCCAATTGCAAGAGCTGGGAAAGGAGGAACTGAGATCAAACTCTCTTCCTGAGAGAGGCAGTTTGTTCCCAGTGCTCAGAACAACCTTCTTTACAGGAAAAAAGTGAGACATATTTGTTCTCGAGAACGCCAATTGCAAGAGTTGGAAGAAGAGGAACCGGGATCAGATTCTGCTCCTGAACACCGGCTGGGTTTGTTCCTGGTGTGGAGAACATCCTTCCTTCCTTTACAGGAAAAAAGTGAGTCACGAATTGTGCGCGGGAACCACATACTTCTTTGAGTTGTTGTTTTGGGCCAGTGCTGGCAGATCTGACAGTTTTAAGTTGTTGCTTTTTGTTGGAAACTTGCTTTCCAATTCTTCTGACCATTTGAAAGCAATATACTGGGATCCTCATTGGTGCTTTCCTTCCACCTAGTGGACACAGGGAAGACTGCAGCAGGTTGGATTTTGCCAGGCAGGAGAAGGCTGGACCTCTCAGCCCACCTTAACAACTGCTTCTGCAAAAGCAAGGACCCCAGAACAGTGTCTGAGGAGTTACTTGAGTGACTCCTGTAGCAGCGGGACTCTCTACCAGCGCAAATTAGGCACACTGGAATCACCTGCTGAGGCAAAACGGATAAATAAGAATTTTTATAACCATTTGTTATCTTTCATTTGTGCTAGATCACCATTGTGCCTTTATGTATCTTCAAGTTGTTGTCTATGGGCTGAACTGTAAAGCAGCACTCACGTGATTTTAGATGTGTTCAATAAAGGTTCTTTCTGTTGAGAGTTTTAAAATCCCATTTGTGTCTACCATTTTAAGAGGCCTTGTCCTTCAGTCAGTTGAGCACTGGAGCCCTAATCATGCAGGGAGTTCAGAGCAAGGGAGACTGTTTTCATTTGTGTGTTACATTTCACCGTTTAGGTGGGTAGTGAGCACTGCCGGCTCCACACATGGTTCTGTGCAGGATTAAAGCATGTGCCTTGATGCAAGGTGATCTTTGTGGTTTGTCAAATGGCTTTTGCAATGATAAGTTGTGTCCCAACATTAACATATTTCATTGCACTGTAACTCCTCCGCTTTCTCTGGCCACTCTCCCCTCTTCTACGTTTGAACTGTGTCACAGTTTGCATTCTTCATCTGCAAAGTGGAGTCTCTGGAGCTGTGGTTAATGATTACTGAGACTTTACAGCTGCACATAAGTGTGCCTGCATTCATGCCAGGTTTTTGGGTTTTTCTTTCTTTCAGATAAAATGTTGGCTGTCAATTTTGATTGCCCAGGAGGCCCAGAAAATCTCTATGTGAAACACGTGACGAAACCAAACCCAGGAGAAGGAGAAGTGCTTGTGAAGGTCTCTGCCAGTGCTCTGAATAGGGCTGATTTACTCCAGGTATGTGTATGTTAAGCAGATTAATGCACCTGAAAATGATACTGATTTTTTCAAGCCCCTCTCTGAAGTCTTGACAAATCTGAAGAGTTAAAACAGAGACCTGGTGAGCAATGGGATGGGAGAGTTCAAGAAGTTATGTCTGTTGATTCAGCAGTTAAGTGTTTTTGTCTGGGTCACTGCAATGCTGGAGTGGCATGGAAAGGCAGCTGCCTTTCAAGAAAAGATTTAAACCAGAACTCCGGTCTTTCTAGATGCTTAGACCATTCTCTGGGCATTTGAGATGAACATGAAATATTTCACTGGCTCCATTACAGCAGGGGAAAATCACATTCCAGTTGTTAAGTATGAGCTTTTTTAATTTGAGCTGAAAGCCACACTCTGCAACTGGGGACCATAATAATTCTCCAGTATGGACTGGCCTGGTCAAAGGGGACTCAGAACAGATTGAATTTCCAGATAGAGTTTTAAAACTAAAACCTACTTGGGAAACAAGAAGTGTTGCTAGAGTATAGAAGATGCTCAACTTACTGAGCATTTGCACAGTGCAAAAATCAGGATTAAATAAGTAAGAATTTAGGTTGGATGTGAATGAAATACTGCAGGTCATTACACTCACTGATACATGGCTTTTCCTTCCTTGCCCTCTCTTTTGTTTTATTTTAGAGGAGAGGGAAGTACCTTCCCCCTGAAGGAGCAAGCGATATTTTAGGCTTAGAAGCAGCTGGAATTGTGGCTGAGCTCGGACCTGGCTGCAGGGGCCAGTGGAAGATTGGTGATGCAGTGATGGCTCTGCTTTCCGGAGGTGGCCAGGCAGAATACGTTACAGTACCCGAAGGCTGTCTCATGCCAATTCCCAAAGATATGACTTTTACTCAGGCTGCAGCTATTCCTGAAGCCTGGATAACAGCCTTTCAGCTGCTGCACTTTGTAGGTGAGAAGCGTATTTGCAAATCTATCCCAGCAAAGGAAGCCTGTCTTCTTTTCTGTTCTGAAATCCTCTCTTTCTTGCCTCCACCTGTATGCTGTTTGCTTCCAAAGAACCTCTTCTCTGTCATTCCATTCACATGGCTCAGAATCTGGTATGCCAGACCCAAATCCTCAAAACTTGATCACGTGTCCCGAGTCACAACTTACTCGGCTGATTGCATATTTACAAGGAAGGATATGGAAAGATGGTCAGGTTTCTTTTCATCTGTATTTCTTAGCTTGAACGGCAATTTCCATTAAGCCTAAACCCTGAAATAACTTACATGTTCTCCAGACAACTGCAAACACATCCTACTTCTAACGTTGCTGCAAGCATGACCATATAATGAACTTTCTCACTAATTGCTTGTGAATCTACAGTAGACAACATCTTCTCTCTTGTTTCGCAGAAATATTAATTTTAGGTAAAATCCCCTCTGAGCTGATTTAAAACAGATATAAGCTTGCACTCTTCATTCTGAAAATGAGTTACCAAGGCACTAAAAGTAGCGCTTGCCAGGGTTTTCCTCAGATGATGAATATCCTTCTCCTACCCTTTTCAGCAGCAGCAGGTAAAAGCTCCACTAAAGAACAGCAGTTACAAACAAGTAACTTTCCTCACTACCCAAAATACAGACTTGCTATGAGCAGTGTTGCTTCCTTTGGCCCTGTGGTCAATAAGGACCATGCCTTCAGGACTACTCAGTGCCTCACTTCCAGTAACAATCAGTGGAATACAAATGTGTTAGGGCAACTGGTAGATGGTAAAATGATAGTTAAAACTGCTCCTTAACATTATCCAGCACTTCTGGTATTTCTTCATTGTTGAGTGCCTGATTTCTCAGTAGTATTATCCTCCAAGTGTTTTCTGTTGGTGGCAGTGGACAGTCCTGATATAAAAAGGCTGACTGCATTCACCTCAGCAGCTTGGTGACGGATGCCCAGAACCGGCAGGGCCAAGCTAAAGTTATTCCACTGGAGATGGTAAAATGGAGTCCTGTTAGTACACTGTGAGCTGTGTTAGTTCTGCATTTATTTCTTTTATGAAGGATATGAAGAGGTAAACAAAGCCCACTTAAGGGCATCTCTTTCAGCTTCCTCTTCAGTATTTTCCACACTGCTTGTGTTTTAATCCAAATGTCATGACAAAGGGGTAACTATTTCCCTTACATCCTCCTTCAGGTAAAGTACAGGAGGGCGAGAAAGTGTTGATCCACGCTGGAGCTAGTGGAGTTGGTATAGCAGCCATTCATCTAGTAAGACTGGCAAAAGCTATTCCCATTGTGACAGCAGGAACTGAAGCAAAACTGAAAGCAACAGAAAAAGCTGGAGCAGCTGTAGGGTTCAACTACAGGAATGAAAATTTTAGTGAAAAGGTCTTGGCGTTCACCCAAGGTAAGAACCTCAATGTGAAAGACACTGTTACAGCTAAGGAGCGTGCACCTCTGAATCTACAAGCACATACACTCAGTTTCAACTGTCACCTTAGTTGGTGAAGGAGCAGACAATAATGATGATGTTGGAACAACCAACAGCCCAAGAATAGGCTGTTCAGCCCATTCAGGCTGAACATTCCTGTTCAGCCCAAGAATGTATCTTTCCTTAGTTTAATTGCACTCAGTTTTCTGCATGGAATCTCTGTTCATTTGGGGCATAAATATTGTGCCTGTGTTATTGCTGCCTCCACAAGGAACTGTGGGATCCTTGCACTTGCCTTTTTAAGTGCTTGAATACAGGAACAAAAAAAAATTTCTGTGTTAGAAAAAATTAGCTTTTCTAAGCATTTGGGATGGTTTATGATGCAGTCTGCATCTGGATATCCATACCAATCTATATGTATCTTACTATATATAGATACCTGTATCTAGTGATTATTTTTTGTTCCCAATTCTAGAATTCCTCACAAATCATTGTGCCAATTCCTAATTTCAGTAGAAAGATTCAAATCAGAATTGCAGGATTGATTCTGTACCTGTAAAGTATAAGGTTTTAGTTCTGCCTGAAATTCTCCTGCCTTTAATGCAGCTTAACTACATTGTTGATACATTTTCTGTTTCTGCTTGAGGTTCTGGAGTAGATATAATTTTGGATCCTGTTGGTGGCTCTTACTGGGAGAAGAATATCAACTGTCTGAGTACTGATGGCCGGTGGATTATTTATGGACTACTAGGTGGAGGTGAAGTACATGGAGATTTGCTTTCAAGCCTGCTAAGCAAAAGAGCAGCCATCCACACAAGTCTATTACGATCAAGAGACAAGAAGGCAAGTAATGGCTGTCAACAGTGTATACAGTTTTATCTTAAAATCAATGAGTTTGAGAGCTTTCTTTTGATATGAATGTTAAAGCAGAATCTAACACATTATTACCAAAAAAAAGCAGCACCTTGAACTGTTACTACATACTTTGGAAAACACTGCAAAATTAAGTTGTAAATTCCCTTTTCTATCAAATGCATCCCTTTTACAATTGCTGAATCAGAGGAATGATACCCAGGACTTACTAACATACTTCACAAGTACCATAGTTCAAAGACTTGGCCTAAAAATAAAAAAACCCTGAAGTGATCAGGAAACTTCATCAAGTTGGGGGTGGGTGGGGAGAAAACCCCTGTCAGATCGTTTTTCAAAGTAGAGACCAAGGTCATTTGGATCCCTGGAAATTACCAAGGAAGAATCACCTTATGAAGAAAATTCTCAGATATTACAGTGAAAGACAGCAGTGCAGAGCCCTGGGATAGATTTTTGCATGGTTTAATACATAATATTCTCAAAAACTTTAATCAGTTTGAGTTTAAATGGTTCTGCGCTAAGCTTATACAACTTGTTTTGGAGAATTTCAGTCAATTAAAGTATAATCTAAAAGTTTTCTTCTTGTAACTTTTACCTGTCAGTTGCTTACACGTCTGTCTCACATGAAAACGTCAGGAAGCATCTCCTTGAGAACTGTGCACTGTGGTTAGAGATACCTCTGTGAATTAAATGACTGGTAATAACCTTCAAAATGCTTCTTTTCTCCTTCAGTATAAGGAACAGCTGGTGAAGGACTTCACAGAAAAGGTGCTGCCGTATTTTTCCAGAGGAATGTCTCCTCATCTCCAACCAGTTGTCCACAGCGTTTACCGTCTGGATGACATTGCTGAGGCACACAGGACCATGGAGAAAAACGAGAATATTGGCAAGATTGTCATTCAAATACCTGATTTAGTTCCAGGGACGCAATAGTTAGGAGTGCTTGACAAGCAAAGAAACTGAATTTCTGCTTCCACATCGGGAGGTTTTACTGTGGGAAGGTGCCAAAAAGGAGGGGTAAAGCAGTGCCTTACAAAACGCGCTCATTAAAAAGAGATTCATACTGCAGCTCTAGCATCGTGTCTTGAACGGGGGGGGGGAACTGCCAAGCCCAGCTCCGGGTTCCTTTACCTTCCCCACAGGCCAGGCGGCTGTGTCCCTGAAGCGCCGCCCTAAGACCCCCCCTAACACCGACCCCAGGGCCTAGGGCACCATCAGGCCGTACCCACGCGGGGCCGGGGTCGGGGCCGGGGCCGGGGGCGGGGCCGGGGCAGCACGCAGCTCACGTGGCTCCCACACACCCGTGCGTGTCGGGCTGCTGTTCCGGCGCAGGGCACGCTGGGATAGCATCCGGGTCCCCCGCTGAGGTGAGGGGTGTGCGTCTGCCGAGGCTCCGTGCCCTGCCGGTGTTTCTCTCCCAGGCGGCAGCCCCCTCTCTCTCCGACCGGCGCCATGGCGATGCAAGCGGCCAAGCGAGCCAACGTGAGTGCTCTCCCCCCTCCCGCTCCCTAGCCCGCCGCAGTCTTCCGTGGTGGTGAGAAGTGCCCCGGCCCGGAGGCTGAGGGCAGGCCTTCCCGCCTGGCCTGAGCTCCTTTCCAAGTCTCCGGCTAAGGGAGCCCGTTCCTCTCCGGACGGGCCTCTTGTTTGACAAACACGTCAAGTTTGTAGCTCTGAAGGGTTAAAAGTGGACCTAGGGAGCACACAGACTGTCTTGCTGATGGTAGCCCAAAGATCTAGCTCGTAGGCAGCAGCTTTTAAGGTTTGAAGTGAGCACACTAGCTCTAACACACCGTATGTTGTTTTTGCATCAGATTCGGCTGCCTCCAGAAGTCAATCGGATACTGTATATTAGGAACCTGCCATATAAAATCACAGCAGAAGAAATGTACGATATTTTTGGGAAATATGGGCCTATTCGACAAATCAGAGTGTAAGTATTTTAGTTCTTTGTGAAAAGTTAAGGATTTTAATCAGCTTTAATAACAGTATTCTTATTGCAGTAGATAGCAACTGGATTTTGTAGCTGAAAAAGTTAAATGCACTTTAGCAGTATCCATATGTGCCAAAGGTGGGTGTGATGATATTTCTCTTATGTGTGAATTCCTTAGAAAATAATATTGCTGGTAGGTAAGGTGAAAAAGCGTAATTCTGATGTGGGCTTAGGTGTGCTGGTAAAAATATGGGAAGCTCTCCTAAGCAAATCTTAAATAACCTTTTATCTTAACTACAGATAAAAATGAGAAAGGCAAAATTTGAAAACAGCCGGTTTTGATATTTAGTGAGTATTAGATACTTGACTGGTGCGAAAATAGAGATATTACTGTAGCTGCTGGACCTGTTGACCAGAAACAGTGCCCTGTGCTTCAGATGCAGTTTGTCCCTGAGCCACACAGCTGTGGATGATGGCAGTCTGACTGAAATTCTGTTCTAAAATGCATTGAGGTTATACAGCAGATTGAGGTTTTTCTCTTAGTTACTTCAGACATTAAAGACTTGCATTCTGATGTTCCTTGTTACCCTGAGTACTGTCTGAATGCTGCAGATTAAACCATAATTTCATCTGGTTAGTATTATGTTCCACCAAGGTTCTAGGGAAGAGTTGGCTGAAGCTGGAATTCAGGAAGCACTTTTGGGAACCGTAGAAATGCTGGTTAGAGTACTGACACTCACACAAAAGGATTGTTTTTTTTTCCTATTAAGACAAGTATTTAGGAAGAAAGGAGGAGGAAATTAAACTTGGTGTTCAGTACTTAAAAGAAAACATTGTAAGTCGCATTTCAGTAGGTGTACAAATAGAAAGGAAATGTAGTTTATATTTGGCATAGGTTGTTGGTTTTTTTTTTGGTTTGTTTTTTTTTTTTTTTGTACTGATGGCAAAATAACCTGCAGCATTTCTGTTGTTGATGAGGTTAAAGTGGAACGTATCTTTGTTATTCATTTATATCGCTCTCCAATTCCCCATGCTCTGGGACTGGGGAGGGTGATTAATCCACAATGAACTGAATTGTTTTGACTGTGCAGGATGTAAATATGTAAACAGTTAAACAGACCAAACTTAAGTACCCCAAATAGTGTACCCAGTTAAGTACCCACTATGGCTCATTTTGAAGCCATAGTGTGGTTGTTCACTGTATAGAATAAAGTGAGTTTTACATCTAGAATTGCCTCAATAAACAAGAATGGGGGGATCAATCATACTGCTGGTGCTGTGTTGGGAAGGTGGAGCTACTGAGATCCTTCTCATGCAGGGAAATGCAACAGAAGTGACTGCAGAAGTGGCCAAAGTAAACCTACTGCTTGGCCAGATAGGTGGAATTCTTTGCTAATAAGCATAAAGGAGAACAAATACTAAAGGGTTCCTGAAAATTAGGTTAGAACAGCATGACAGTGGGACATAAAGAATTAAGATGTACTGGGGGAACTTTCCATCAGTGATGCACTGGTGTATATGTCCAAAGGCTTGTTCAGAACTCCTGGCTCATATTTTCCACAGAAACATCCATAACATGGAAGTCCTGTTGTAGTCACTTGTGTGCTTAGTGTGGTTTTTATCCCATTCTCCTCTTTGCACTTGTATATATTCTGGTATGGATATGTGCGGTATCGTTTATCCTCAGGAGTTCTCTTCTGAGAAGCAAGCACCTTGGAGACAGATCTGGTTATTAGGTTTGCTGTAGCTATCTTTTTAGCTGAGGTCTTTTGGATCTGTAAACTCTGCAGTCTCTCTGCGCTGGTTAGGCTTATGTGCTTAGACGTGTCTCCGGTCCCTCAGGCAAAGGAAATTGGATTGATGGCCTGATAGGCAATGGTTGTGCACCTGACCTGGTCTTGCACCAGCAAGGCTGTTTTGACTGTTTTAAATTGACTTTGTGATATGCCCAGAGCCGTATTCCATCCTGGGGAGGCATCTGATCCAGACAGCCATTAACTGACAGCCCAGCCTTGTAATATTAAATAAACTAAGCTAATGGCTGTAATGAAAACTTAAAGTATTTCCAGAAGTATGACAACCCTGACAGCAACAGCTTCTGATGGCTGTTGTGGAGAGGTGAATTTCCCTTAAGGAGCATAATGCAGCACATGCTTCTCTTTCATTATCCTGTCTCTGACTCTGGACTGTAAGTGGAGATTGGTGTGGAAAGCGGGAATGTATTTTAACATCTTGAGAGGACAAGGGGTAATGGCTTTAAACTGAAAGAGGAGAGATTTAGATTAGATATTAGAAAGAAATTCTTCCCTGTGAGGCTGGTGAGATGCTGGCACAGGTTGCCCAGAGAAGTTGTGGCTGTCCCATCCCTGGCAGTGCTCAAGACCAGGTTGGGTGGGGCTTGGAGCAACCTGCAATAGTGGGAGGTGTCCCTGCCTATGGCAGGGTATTGGAACTAGGTGATACTGAAGGTCTCTTCCAACCCAAACCATTCTGTGATAATAATAAGAAATTTTTTTCTCATGAAGTTGCATTAGTTAATTTAATCTCAGTTGGTGCTGAAGACCAGTAGAACTATTTCTTGTTATTTTTGTTAAACATTAAAATTCATCTTGCCTTGCAGTGGAAACACTCCTGAAACTAGAGGAACGGCCTATGTGGTCTATGAAGACATCTTCGACGCCAAAAATGCTTGTGATCACCTATCAGGATTCAATGTGTGCAACAGATACCTTGTTGTTCTGTACTATAATGCAAACAGGGTATGTACACTTGGGGGTTTTTAAGTTACCTCTGAGCAGAGCTAGGACAAAAAGAAATGCAGTTTGAAAAGAGAGGTGCTTGGATAATTTTAAGAAATGAATCCAAACTGGCAGTGGGAATTGATTGGATAAATTGACAGGATTTCATCTTTATTTGGTGATCTGTGTGGAAAAAAAGGTGTTAAAAAACATGTTTCTGGAGACTGGGGAAGAGGAAGCAGGGGCTTACAGCTGCACATTTGCCGCAGGATGTGAGATCTTGTGTGCAGGTAAAAAGATGTTCTGCCTGTGACTTGGTGTGCAGGCATTCTCTGGGGCCAAGGATTAAATACTGCTGTTGGAGTAATTCTTAGTGATGTTGGTTGCAGTTACTAGGAAATAACATGCAGAAGATGAGTTTTTATTTATTATTTCTCACATCTTTTCTCTTCCTAATTCCAGGCATTCCAAAAGATGGACACAAAGAAGAAAGAGGAACAGCTTAAACTTCTCAAGGAAAAATATGGAATTAATACAGACCCACCAAAATAAACTGCTCTTTTTGGTAAACTGTTAAGACCTGCCATTGAATTCTTGACCTAGACACAGGAATTCTCAATTAAGTATAATTTTTTCCTTTAAATTTTATAAGCTGTAATTTGAATCTTTAGATCTTCACATTAGAAGTCAATAAATGTAAAACACTGGAAGATCTGCTTTAAGATTAAATTCCCATAAATAGAGCCGGCTTCTCTGTGTTGTCAGTAACAGTGCAGCGTAACCCCAGTCCTGTTTCTAGCAGTACCTTTTAAGATGGGGCTAAGATGCTTGAGCATTTCGCACCTCCTGAAGTTCCACCCAGCCTCCAGGTGGCAGCAGTTAATCCAGAGCTGAAGGGGCTCTGCCTAAGCTGGCTGTAGGCAGGTAAATTTTATTTGCTACTTTCTGAAAACAGAGCATTTCAGTTGGTCTCCCTGTTACAGCGATTTTTGTGTGCTTTTTAAAGAAGAATGGAGTATGGTTTGATACTTCACACCTGTATATTTTACCCAAATTGTTGTGCCTTTCTCCCTCTAGGAGTGTTTGAACGAACCTCACTTCCTTATGTGATCATTAGGTGGCTGCTTACTAGAAACAAAGCAAGCCCAAGTCCATGCTTGTAAGTTTCTTTTACAAACTATGGAAAATCATTTGCCTTTTAAAAGAATCCAACTGTTCAGGTGACTTCAGTCAGATCATTCCCAGTGACTGAGACAAAGCTGATAAGCTGCAGTAAAATTACCTTCCTCTAATAGTGCATCACTGCAGGGTGATACAGGAAAGTTATCACATGTACCATGTTAGGAGTGGCAGGAATAAACCTGATGCCTTTTAATGTTAAGTAGAAAACACCTGACCAAAACAAGGCAGTAGGTGAAGGTGGTAATTTTCAATACCTGTAGTGCAATTGTTTTCTAATTGGTGTTTTTGAACTGTAATATATTTCATGTACAGAAATTCTTAGATGTAGCATCTAGTGGAAGATAAACAGATGTAAATTTTTTGGCTTGTTTTCTTTAGCACTCGCGTCCTATGAATAAAAATTAGTGTGCTACATGGGTTATGCATAACTCTGTATTTTGGAAGTGGAAAAGAATCACCTCTACCCCTGTTCTGAACCCGCTGGGAGTTGTGTGAATGTTGGTAGTATCCTGCCTCAGGAGAATTTATCTGCTTGGATGTGATATTTAACTCCCTGAGCAGACAACTTCCAGCCAGTGCAGAAGATGGGCAGATGCAAACATACTTTGTCTGAGGATTTGGAATTTAAGTTAGGGTGGGTTTTTTTTTCAGTGCATTGGACTGTCATGAAGGAATATTTCTATTTTCTTGGATTTTTTTGTTCATAATTGTCACTTAAAGAACCATGCTGGTTTTGGGTCCACTGAGTAAAAAAATAAATACTGCCTACCTTGTGGTTTTCTGTTTTTCCAGCAAGACTTGCTTTTATGCTATGCTACTTCTGCATGTAAGCTTTCCTTTCAGAAAGCAAGTCATGTGTTGCCTGAATGCTCATGGTTCAGGTAAGACTTTGTAGAGCATCTGTTGCCATACGTGAGCACATGTGTTCAGCATGTGAGTGATGGGGAGGGACACCCAGCTCTGGGTACCATGTCTGACACTCACGTGGAGGAAGTCCCATGCGGCTGCTGTGTGCTGCACAGATCCTTTGTTCTTCCTCATCTGGTGAGGAGAAGCGTGAAGGGTGGCAGTGATGCTCTGAGCTGGCTCTTTCACCCCTGAGCGCCTGTGAGGAGGTAGCTGAAATGGCTGGGGTGTAATTTTAGCTTTGAGTGGGTGCTCAAAATCCCACCTGGTGTCTGGCCAATGAGTCTGCCTTAATCTCTGTTGCAGACCAGTTTTTGGGGTGCAAGCGAGAATTACATCCAGTGTCTCTTGTAAAAAGTCTTGTACTCATTTTGTGGCTCTTCATACCCATGTACTTCCCTAAAAGCTATGCTGCTTCCTGCAGAGAGCTGTCCCTGCAGTCAGGAACCAGGTGATGAGAGACTTGGAGCCTGTGAGTGGCTGTGGTCATCTCTGAAGCACTGAAAAGTCATGACCTGACCTGTGCTGCTCCTCTGGTTGGGTGCATCTGTGTCACAGGTACATTAAATGTGAAGCAGCTGTGATCTGCTGTTGTTCTTAGGTGAGCTGTTACTGTAACAAGTGCCAGCTTGATTTTGGGGGCTTGTCTGTAGGATTATACAAACCTAAATTTCAAAAGCAAAACCCAGCTTGCCTTAAAAACATTTAAATGAATGAAGTCCTATTGATTCTGTGTCAGCATCCGTAGCTTTTAAATTTTAGAAATGGCCTCCACTGTGTATGTGTGTATATATGTATCAATGTATATGTGCCATATATATGCACACATGTGCCAAATAAGGGCCATTCACACAAGTTGGTGGGCATTTAGAAGGCCCCTTGCTGTAGCAGAAACTGGAGGTGCTTGTTAGCATGCTGGATTTATGCTTCAAATAAGAATAAATACTGATAATAAACCACTAAAGTGCTGGTAATGGTGCCACAGGCTTCTGGCCTTGTTTAAAATCATGCAAATACCGCATTGCTTCTGTCAATAGCAGAGAGTGCGGTACTTGCACCGCAGTGGCTATTTAGATGAGGATTTGATGCTGTTTGAAAAACATATATAAAAAGCAATTCTTTAGGGTAATAAGATTAATAAAAATGCCTTCAATGAATCCTCAAGATCAGCAGCTTTTTGATTTCTCTGAGAGCTCAGCTGCTGCCTTTCATTAAATATTCCATTTCATACTTTTTCTTCTAGTGCCTGTTCAGGGCTTTCAGTGTCCCTGCACATGTAAAATGAAATAATAATTTGTACCTGCAAGACAGAGGGAATGGAAATCGAATGCCTGGAGGATTGTTTTGATGAGGTCTGCTCAAGATTTTGTTTGAAATGTAATATCAAAGGACAGGGAAATGAGATCAGTTATGAATGGCAGAGGGGGCAGCAAATAAGGCAGATGTTACCAGCCTTGTACTCTGCATCTGTGCTGGTTTTTGTGTGTGCTCACTTCCCATTTAATTTTTCAGGAAGTAGGGCATGAAATTAAGCCTGGAAGGTCATTTTTTTCCATCGATGCTGTTTAGAAATTAGTAACAAGAGCGTATCTGATTACACAGGCAATGACAGTAAATTTCTTCCAATCCATTATACAGTGGTAATAATTACATGTAGTGTGTTGATCGATGATACAATTAAATAAATTAAAGCATTTGCAGTCAAAGAAAGAGCTGGAGATTACATTTCCTTGAAGACTTAATTTCCCAAAGTATCACAAAGCACAATTAGTTTTCCTTTCAGATTTTTTTTTTTTTTTTAATGAAATTGGCATGAAAAATGTAATACCCTCTGCTTTTGACAATTGCCTCTGCAGAGAAAGGGTGAGGAGGGGGAGCACTTCATCAGCCAGCTGTAATAAGGATTTTACAAATTCTGTAATGGCTGGGTAGAGCTTTTGAGGGCACAAGGGGAGTGCATAGCAGTGCTGCAGAGGGAGACAGGGAGGCTAAATATGACCAGGAATATGTTTTTTACTGACAGAGGGGCAGAGCAATGCCCTTCTGCTCATTTTAGGTGTGGCAGAAGCTTGCTGGCTGCAGGACCAAGAGATGATGGAGGGAACACATGGCCATTCCAGGTATGCTGAGCCAATCTTCTGCATCGCTGCTCACTGTCAAGGTGTTCAGGAAAGGTCCCAGGTCAGATACTTGATGTTTTCTTTTTTTTTTTTTAAAGGGCAACTAACTTAAACTGGGCCATCAGTAGGCGCAGTTTTAGAGCAGTGTGCTGGATTGACCTGTGTTTGGCAGATGTGACAGAGATGTGTTAACATTCAACCAAGACCTCTGTAGGAGCTCATACCCGCAACTAGTGCGACAGCCTGTGATCTGCAACCCAGTGCTGGTATGGACAGTGCAACAGTGGCTGGGGCAGTGGCAAATGAATTTGGAAGAGCTAGTGGGCATCAAGTCTTGACAGGGCTGATTCCCTATATATATATATATAACATATATATTAACAGGAAATTAGCCTGTCCTACAAAGAAGAGCTATTGGTGAAATCAGAATGGTAGAATGGTTTTGGTTGAAAGAGGCCTTAACAATCATCTAGTTCCAACCCCCTGCCATGGGCAGGGACACCTTCCACTACAGCAACTTGCTTCGAGCCCTGTACAACCTGGCCTTGAAAACTGCTAGGGATGGGGCAGCCACAGCTGTTCTGGCAACCTGTGCCAGTGCCTCACCACCCTCACAGGGAAGAATTTCTTCCTTATAGCTAATTGAAATCTCCCCTCTTTCAGCTTAAAGCCATTCCCCCTTGTCCTATCCCTCCATGTCCTTGCAAAAAGTCCCTCTCCAGATTTCTTTTAGGCCCTCTTTAGATACTTGAAGCTGCTCTAAAGTTTCCCCAGAGCCTTATCCAGGATGAACAAGCTCAGCTCTCTCAGCCTCTCTTCACAGGAGGGCATAGGTAAGGCCCCTGGTCATCTTTGCAGCCTCCCCTGGACTCAGCCCAAAAGCTCCACATCCCTCTTATGCTGGGGCACCAGAGCTGGATGCAGCACTGCAGGTGGGGTCTCGTGAGAGTGGAGTAGGAGGGGAGAATGACCTCCCTTGACCTGCTGCCACACTCCCTTTGATGCAGCTCAGAATATGATTGGCTTTCTGGGCTGTGAGCACACATTGTTGGCTCACATTGAGCTTTTTATCAGCCAGCGCTCCCAAGTCCTTCTCCTTGGGACTGCTCTCAGTTCGGTTTCCACCCAGGGTTGGTTGCTCCAGGCCAGCTGTAGGACCATGCACTTGGCCTTGTTGAACTTCATGGGGTTTGCACTGGCCCATCTCTCAAGCCTGTCCAGGTCCCTCTGGATGGTGTCCCTGCACCAACAGTGGATGTCTTTGAGAAGTATCATCTTCTGTCTCTTCAGCAGCCAAATTTTGGCAGAGGTTAGGGGCCATGAGGAGGGCAGGGTAGATGGAGCCAGGAAACCTCTGTCCCAGCAGCCCTTACTTGCATGTTGCTGGTACCTCTGGTCCCACAGAGATCCTCCACTGTGCCACCTGTAACAGGAGCAGCACACGGAAGTGTGTGTGTTTCATACAAGAAAAGAAAGAATTAACAAAAAATGGGTTGATGGTTGTTAGAAGAACTTCTTATACACCAAAAAGAATTCCAGTGGCAGGAGGATAAAAACAGGAAATAGAAACTGTAAAGTATCAAGGTTTTATTGTTCTCTATATATACTTTTAAATGAGACAGTATTTTTAAAACAGCAGCAAGCAGAAACATACAAGTTGAGAAAAGTGGCAGCGCAGGTAACTCTGTTTGGCTAATGCCCGTTCATGTACAAGGTGTACACTGGATTGTTCTTTGAGCACCTTTTGTGTTTTGTTTTCTTCTTGGTTTAAGTGTACAGTAAGGCAGTGGTTTTTCAATAAGGAATATATATATATTTATATTTATATATATTTTCAACCATCACTGTGAATTCCTCTTACATGCAAATTAAATAAAATGTACAACTTGAAAATGTTACAACAGTAGACATTTTTCCCAAAAGCAAAGCTTCTAATAAAAGGCAAATACGGACACCACGAAGTTAAAAAAAGAGAAGGAAGGCGTAAGAAACCGAACAGCAGGCGCTAGTGACAGGACAGCTTCAGCAGGGCAGACTGGGATTCCAGTGAAGGTTTCTCCCGCTGCTGGCAAGGTGAGAAAGGATGGATGGGTATTAACAGATGTATCCAGCCAACTCCCTTGAGAAGATTCACTCCAACCTGAGTAGCTCCACATCGAAGAGGAGCGTGGCATTGGGAGGGATGACCCCAGGGTGGCCTGTGGCTCCATAGGCCATCTCAGGTGTGCAGGTCAACTTTGCTCTTTGTCCTAAGCTCATCTGGGTTTTGGATGTTGAAGAAAGGAAAACAGAACAAAAAAACCAAACAGTATTAGGAGGAAAACAAAGAACAAATCACAGTGTGTCAGACTGACAGAACTGAGGAGAGTCAGGACCACTGGATTCATGGAATCATTTAGGTTGGAAAAGGCCTTTAAGATCATAGAGTTCAACCATGGCTCAGCTTCAGGCTGCCACACCCAGCTCAGACATACGTCTTCTGACTCCCCTGGCTTCTCACAGCAGTTATTTAAATTGCCAGAGCCAGCCTGGGAGCCCACCCTACCTACGCTGGACTGTAGGTGTGAATTCCTTCTATGGAGTGCAGTGTACATGTAACACCATCAGCAGTGGATGTCTTTGAGAAGTATCGCTTTCCATCTCTTCAGGAGTCAAATTTTGTCAGAGGTGAGGGGCCATGAGCAGGGCAGGGTAGATGGAGCTAGTAACAGACAGGAGAGATTAGTGCCAAAATGCACTTTGG